ATATAACCGAAAAAATGCGTTCGGACAAGGCGACGTTGCCCTGTAATTTCTGTTTGTTGTCATTCGTTTTTTTTTTGGGCTCTGTGGCCAAAGCAAATAAAATTCATTATGAATTTCTAATTATATTGCTCTTGCCTAAGGCAACCCCTCAAAAATGAGAATGAACCCGGACGTAAAAAAGCCAAAAGTTTCCTCAAAAAAGTTTACATTTTTTCAAAGCCGACATCCCATAGAAAAAAATAATGTCAAGCCGCACATTTGACAATGATGAATTTGCTTTTGGCGAGCCACCCCCGGAAGGCCGGAGAAAGTGCTTTAGATAAACTGATTAGGCACATCAATTCGGTAAGGAGAAACCTTTGTCTAATGGCAATTGTTTTGTGAAAATTGAATTTTCCTTTTCCCGCCCGGTTACAGGAAAGTTTAACCAAAAAAGCGGCAGTGCCAGTGGCAGTGGCAGCAGGAGCGGCGTCTGTCTAATTAGAAATATGAAATAAGGCAAATGTTTTGTGGTTTTGTGCACCTGCTGCCAGAGATAATGAGGCTGAAGGTGAATGAGGCAGGAACCTGTTTCAAATTGGAAAAGGTATTTTGCCTAAATTATTATTGGACTTAATTGTAGCCAAGTTAAGTCGAGTTTTGATGCAAAGAATGCGAAATAATGGAAACCAATTTTAAGTTTTTCCTACAGAATGGGGTTTACAAAAACCATAATTACTGACTTCTCTAATCTCACAATCTTTATTAAAGTTTATTTGACAGCCTAAATAAAAGCCAAACAAGCAAAGCTCATAAATGTAATACAATCCTCCTAAATGGCCCACATTAATTCACACATTAGGCTATTTGGCTTTGATTTCTATTTGCCAACCACCAATGATTGACTGATTGATGGCATCGAATACTAGCCAAATGAACACTGAACACAAAAATCAAACAAAATGACCAAAGCAAATAGTTTTCCCCACACAGAGAGATGGAAATGTAGTTTAGTGGACACTAAACCGGCATGGGTTTTTGGAGTGTTTGAGGTCGTATTATCTGGGGCACATATACCCTAAACGAGGGGAGGGTGTGAGTAAACAATGAGATGATGATGAGCCGGGCAACTGATATAAATCAAACAACAATGAGAGACACAGATACGGATAAAACACACACACTCACACACACGGCCGTGTAAACATAAAGGGAATCCACTCGATATCAGAGGACATTCGAGGATAATACCGCCTCTCAACACGCCTTTCTGTCCCGCCTGCCTCGAGATTTTTCCTTTATTTTCATTGTCAACGGTCTAAGCAGCGTGTGAGGATTATTTCGCATTCATCTGCAAGGACCCGCCATGTCCTTTGTCTAATTGGTTGTGTCACATATATGCCGAGGATGCCATCGTCGTCCTTTGTTGTGACTGTTGCCATTAGCGGTGCTGTTTCGACTTCTTACGATGCTTTGTTTGGGGTATTTAATGCTTCAATTGATTTCTGATTTAAGTACCTCACCGCGGACCCCAAAAACCAAAAAGAGAAAAGAATCCCCTACAGCTGCCTAAGACTTCAGTAGCCCAGCAGGTTGTCCTTCAAGAGGCTTTTTTGAGGTAATTGAAAGTCTTTCTCCTTCCTCTACCAGCTAGATCTTTCATGAAATTGCGCAAATAAATCAAAAATGTCAGGAAAGAAAGGCAAAAGCCCCAGGTACCTCGTAGCTACCTTTTATACGTAATTTTTAGTCAACCAGAGGTAAACTTTTATTGGTTGATAAAATTGTATCACCATAATAATAGTCACATACGCACAACTATGTCGAAAATCTTTCACAAAATTATGTGTTATATTTTTGTTGAATTTTTTTGGCTTTTAATACTAATCGGAATTTGTTATCATGACCTTCTTAAAACCAACTAAAATTAAATTTTTACGAAATCGTCAAAATAGTGAGATAAGCATTCAAATATAAAGCAAAACCCAAAACGAATTTAGCTTGAAACTATCGCTTTGAAATTTTTACAAAACATTTCCTAATGACTAACCATAAAGACCGGGTGTATTCTTAATAAAAATATGAAGTTCCATTTGTTTTCCTTTTTGTGGCTGCTCAGTGTAGTAGGTTACACAAATGCAGCCCAAAATTTAATCTGCTACTACGACTGGCTCTCGTTTTTTCGCCACGGTGTCGCCCAAATGTGGAAATCTGATCTGAGACCGGCCCTAGATGTCTGTACACATTTGTTCTACGGATACGCTGGCATCAGCGGCAGATCCTACGAGTTGTCCCACCTTAATGTGGACTTGAATGTGTTCCATTTTAGGCAATTCCTGTACCAAAAGTTTCCCCACCTCAAGTTCCTGTTGAGTGTTGGAGGGGATCATAATGCCGACGAGGCCCATCCGAATAAGTATATAGAGCTTCTGGAAGCAAGTAAAGCTGTCCAGCAGAATTTCATTGACAGCAGTGTAAGTCAACTAAAACGCAGTGGGTTCGACGGTCTCGATTTGACCTTCCGGTTTCCGAAAAACGATCCAAGAAAAGTTCATGTAGTGGATCCTCTAGCGGAGCAGCACAAGAGACAGTTCACGGCTCTGGTGGAAAATCTTGGGAACGCCTTCCGGTCAGCCAATCTCACGTTGTCTCTGACTGTCTTGCCCAATGTTAACTCCACATGTAAGTATTATAAGGGGACTTTATTCTAATATATTATATACCTATCGCTATTTAGGGTACTTCGATGTCAGCAAACTACATCCGCAAGTCGACTTCATCAATCTAGCTGCCTTTGACTTCCTCACTCCCCTAAGAAATCCCGAGGAAGCCGACTATACAGCTCCGATTTTCTTCCAAGACGAACAGAATCGCTTGCCTTACTTGAATTCCAGGTAAATTACTGGCTCCAGAATGGCTGTCCTCCCAAAAAACTAAATCTGGGAATTGCCACTTATGGCCGGGGATGGAAAATGACTTCAGAGTCGGGAAAAGTGGTCTGCCAGTGGTTTCAAGAACCAATGGACCTGCTCCGGGAGGACTAAATAATGCCAGTCTGGAGTGGGCCAAATGGCCGGAGTTGCCCGGTTTGTTCACTTGGCCGGATATTTGTAAAGAATTGGCCAAGAATTCATCGGCCCCACTTAGGCAAGTGACGGATCTCACCCAGAAATACGGAAACTATGCCTTTCGTCCACCGAACGAGGAGGGAGAGCCCGGTATGTGGCTGAGCTTCGATGGTCCGGATTTTGCTAGAGTCAAGGCGGCATATGCCAAGGGTATGGGCCTGGGCGGAATGGCGATATTCGATCTGACTTACGATGATTTCCGAGGCCTCTGTACGGGCCAGGAATTTCCAACCCTACAAGCTATTAAAGATGTTATGGGTTAAATGAGTTTTATTTTTATTTCCTCCTAATGGGTATTTCCCCCCACTATTCTAATCTTTATTGTAAAAAAAACTTCCGAATTAAAAATGTATTCATTTTTATCAGCGAGCACATTTTGGTTTTTTTATTCTCGCCCACAAATCTCATTTCAACCTTTTTGTCGTTCGTCTAGTGGACCACTACCACGATCTACTGTTCGGAGGCTTAAATAGGATTAAGAGTAATGATGGCTTGGATCAAAATACTTAGATAGTACATGTCGATTTACGCTCACCGTTTGGCGACTTTGAATGCAGTTCGGTTTTGGAGACTTAGCTCAGATGTACATAATAATACTTACATACAAATGTATATGTCTTGCTTCCCGCGGGCGGTCGTCATGACATCAACAAATAGAGAAATAGACAAAAAATTGAGTTATTCATGTATAAAATAAAAAGAAAACCCCAAAAGAATTAAGTCAAATAAGCTCAAAACTATTTCATTATTCAGATTATATTTCTAGTTACTCATACTAATCGGAACTTGTTATCAGAACCAATATGTTTTTAAACAAGAAAGAAAAGCTAACTTCGGGCGGAGCCGAAGTTGATATACCCTTGCAGCTAAAACCGGATATATATCGCAAACATCGGATATAGTTGGCCGATCCTTATGATTACATCATAGTAAAACCAATTAATTACAATAAAAATCTAAAACAAGAAAGGAAAGCTAACTTCGGGCGGAGCCGAAGTTTATATACCCTTGCAGTTAAAACCGGATATATATCGCAAACATCGGATATAGTTGGCCGATCCTTATGGGAATATGAATATATAATCCAATTTATTACAATACAAAATCTAAAAAAAGTCCCCAACTTCTATCTTCAAAAATACGAAAGTTGATATTTCTACCAAATACCATTTCCGATCGTTCAGTTATATGGCAGCTATGGGATATAGTCGGCCGATCCTAATGAAATTTGATAGGTTGGATCAATTGACCAAAAATAGAATCTGTATTAAATTCCAGCTTTCTATCTTCAAAAACACGAAAGTTGGGTCATTTCCGATCGTTCAGTTATATGGCAGCTACAGGATATAGTCGGCCGATCCTTAGGAAATTTGGCATGACGTAATGTTTTGCCAAAAATAGCTCTCATGTCAAATTTGAACTTTCTAACTCTAAAAACACAAAAGTTATACCATTTCCGATCAATCAGTTATATGGCAGCTATAGGATATAGTCGGCCGATCCGGGCCGTTCCGACTTATATACTGCGTGCAAAGGAAAGAAGGGTGTGTGCAAAGTTTCAAGACGATAGCTTTAAAACTGAGAGACTAGTTCGCGTAGAAACAGACAGACGGACAGACAGACGGACAGACGGACAGACGGACAGACGGACATGCTTATATCAACTCAGGAGGTGATCCTGATCAAGAATATATATACTTTATAGGGTCGGAGATGTCTCCTTCACTGCGTTGCACACTTTTGGACAAAATTATAATACCCTCTGCAAGGGTATAAAAACGCGTTCAACCTAAATAAAATAGTACATATTTAAGCAATCGTCAGAATAGTGAGATAAGCAATAAAATTCAAACCAAAACTCAAAAAGAATTTAGCTTGAAAATATCGCTGTGATATTTTAATAAAACAGTTGCTAATAGCCAACCATAAAGACCGGACGTGGTCTCGCCGAGAATATGAAGTTCCTTCTGTTTCCCTTCCTGGGTCTGCTCAGTGTAGTAGGCTGCACTGGTGTAGCAGCCCAAAATTATATCTGTTACTACGACTCGGGGTCGTATTATCGCAGCGGTTTGACCCAAATGTGGAAAGATCATCTGGAACCGGCCCTAAATGTCTGTACACATTTGGTCTACGGATACGCTGGCATCCAAAAAGGATCTTTCGAATTGTTACGCCTGAGGGGACGCTTTGATAAGTTTCGTTACTCAGAAATCACAGGCATAAGCAAAAAGTTTTCCCATCTCAAGGTCCTTCTGAGTGTTGGAGGAGGTCGAGATGTCGACGAGGCCCATCCGAATAAGTATCTTGAGTTTCTGGAAGCTAATACTACTGCCCAGAAAAATTTCATAGACAGCAGTATAAATGAACTGAAACGCAAAAGGTTCGATGGTCTCGATTTGGCCTTCCAGTTTCCGAAAAATGAGCCAAAAAAAGTAAATGGACCCACTGGCGACTTTGTTGTGGATCCTCTTGCGGAGCAGCACAAGAGACAGTTCACGGCTCTGGTGGAAAATCTTGGGAACGCCTTACGATCAGCCAATCTGACGTTGTCTCTGACTGTTTTGCCCAATGTTAACTCCACATGTAAGTATGATTACGGGTCTAAAGATGCATATGTTTAAATATTTTATTACCTAACCCCTGTTTAGGGTACTACGATGTCAGCAAACTTCATCCCCAAGTCGACTTCATCAATCTGGCAGCCTTTGACTTCATTACTCCTCTAAGAAATCCCGAGGAAGCCGACTATACAGCTCCGATTTTCTTTAAAGACGAACATAATCGCTTGCCCTATTTGAATGTAGATTTCCAGGTAAATTACTGGCTTCAAAATGGCTGTCCTCCCAACAAACTAAATCTGGGAATGGCCACTTATGGGCAAGGATGGAAAATGACCTCAGATTCGGGGCAAACTAGCATACCAGTGGTTTCTAGAACGAATGGACCTGCTCCTGGAGGTCTTCTGGAAGACAGTCTGGAGTGGGCCAGATGGCCGGAGTTGCCCGGTTTGTTTACTTGGCCGGATATTTGTGAAAAATTGGCCAAGAATTCATCGGCCCCACTTAGGCAAGTGACGGATCTCACCAAGAAATACGGAAACTATGCCATCCGGCCCGCTAATGAGGGAGGCGAGAACGGCATGTGGCTGAGCTTCGATGGTCCGGATTTTGCTGGAGTTAAGGCGACATATGCCAAGGGTAGAAACCTTGGCGGGATGGCGATTTTCGATCTGTCGTACGATGATTATCGGGGCCTCTGTACGGGCCAGAAATTTCCAACCCTACAAGCTATTAAAGATGTTATGGGTTAAATGAAGACAATCATATTTTGAAAAGGAAATATTCTTTTTTACTACATAGTATAGTGTCCGCTTAAGAATACTATCTAAGTTTTATTTTTTATTTCCTCCTTATGGGTACTTCCACTCACTATTCTACTCTTCATTGCAAAATAAATTCTCAAAAAAAAAACCTTTGTTCATTCTAGGATGGGCGGAGAACAAGCATTTCGCTCATCGGCTAGAGTACTCCTCTGTCTTCTCTTAGGTAGCTTAAATAGGATTAAGAGTTATGATGGTTTGGATAAAAATTCTCAAATGGTAGATGGTGATATACGATGGCGACCGTTTCACATTCGAATGCACTTCGGGTTTGGAGACTCAGTTCAGAAGTACCTAATAATACCTACATATACATAATTCTTTTAATAGACAAATAAGCACCTATTTACACCTATAAGCACCAAGAAACCCCTGAAAAGTTGAGTCATCAGTCAGACCAACACGCAATTAAATAGGAAAACATTGACAGGAACCTCCGACGTAATGCCTGAAAACCTGATAATGGCATCATCGTCAAAACAATGAGATAAGCATTAAAATAAAAAACAAAAACCGAGGAGATTGAAGCTTAAAAGCTTCCCAATGAGATTTTGACAAAACAGTTGCTAATTATCAACCATCGAGACAGGACGTATTCTAGACGGAAAGATGAAGTTCCATCTGTTCGCCCTTCTGGGTCTTCTCAGTGCTCTAAGTTACACCAATGCAGCCCAAAATTTAATCTGCTACTATGACTCGGCCGCGTATGTGCGCCATGGTCTGGCCAGAATGTTCAAGAGTGATATGGAACTGGCCCTAGAGTTCTGCACACATCTGGTATACGGATACGCTGGCATGAAAGCCGAAACCTACGAGATGTTCAGCCTGAATGTGGACTTGGATATGTTCCACTACAAGGAAATCACTTCCCTGCGCCAAAAGTTTCCCCATCTCAAGATACTGTTGAGTGTTGGAGGGGATCACGATGTCGACGAGGCCCATCCTAATAAGTATATTGAGTTTCTGGAAGCAAATCGCACTGTCCAGCAGAATTTCATAGACAGCAGCATGATTCTACTGAAGCGTAATGGGTTCGACGGTCTCGACCTGGCCTTCCAGTTTCCGAAAAATAAGCCACGTAAGGTTCATGGCTCCTTTGGCAGTTTTTGGAAAAAGTTCAAGAAGCTGTTCACTGGCGACTTTGTTGTGGATCCCCAAGCGGAGCAGCACAAGTCTCAGTTCACGGATCTGGTGGGAAATCTGAAGAACGCCTTCCGGACAGCCAATCTCATGTTGTCCCTGACTGTGCTGCCCAATGTTAACTCCACATGTAAGTATAATAAGGGGACTTTATTCTAATATATTATATACCTATCGCTATTTAGGGTACTTCGATGTCAGCAAACTGCATCCCCAAGTCGACTTCATCAATCTGGCTGCCTTTGACTTCCTCACTCCTCTTAGAAATCCCGAGGAAGCCGACTATACAGCTCCGATTTTCTTCCAAGACGAACAGAATCGCTTGCCTTACTTGAATGTAGAATTCCAGATCAATTACTGGCTGCAGAATCACTGCCCTTCCAACAAACTAAACCTGGGAATTGCCAGCTATGGTCGGGGATGGAAAATGACCTCAGATTCGGGACTAAGTGGCCTGCCAGTGGTTCCTGGAACCGATGGCCCTGCTCCGGGAGGACTTCAGATCGCCAGTACAGAGGGCTTGTTCAGTTGGCCGGAGATTTGTGCCAAACTAGCCAAGAATTCATCGGCTGTGTATCGAGGGGAAAATGCCCCTCTTAGAAAAGTCACAGACCTCACCCAGAAGTACGGAAACTATGCCCTCCGACCAGCTAATGAGGAGGGCGAGCACGGCATGTGGCTGAGCTTCGATGATCCGGATTTTGCTGGAATCAAGGCGGCTTATGCCAAGGGTAGGGGCCTGGGCGGCATGGCGATATTCGATCTGACTTACGATGACTTCCGAGGCCTCTGCACGGGCCAGAAGTTCCCGACTGTACGATCTATTAAATATTTTATGGGTTAAATAAATCTTTACATAAAAGCCTTAAAATAAATATTTAAGTACGACATTTTAATTTTTTCAATATAGTCTTCTTTTGAAAATACTAATTAAAATATGGTTTTATTTTGTAGTTCCTTCTTCATGGGTATTTCCCGCCACTATTCCACGTTTCATTGCAAAATAAGTTCTGAATTAAAAAATTGTTCTTTCTAATCAGCGAGCGCGTTTCAATGTTATGCGATTATTTTTATTTTTACTTTTTTTTATATATTTGGCGACCTCTCAAACTTGACCCTGGGTCTTTCGTCCCGTCGTCATTAACATTAGCTTGTGTATACACAATTAAGTCATTGCGGGAATAAGTAAAGCCGAGACTTGGTTTCAGTCCGACTCTGGTCTGGTTTCATTATTCTCCCCCCACAAAGCTCTGGTCAAGCTTTTTGTCGTCGACTTCGGTTTTCATTTCATATACAGACTCAGGCTTCAGTTCGATTTCATTTGATCTGAGCTGCGGTTGTGTTTATTTCAGAGAAAATCAGTGACAATATGAACCAGTGGCTTTGGCTTGGATTCGTCGCGTGCCTTTACGCGGCTGGCACAGAAGCCGCTTCGAATTTGGTGTGTTATTATGATTCTTCAAGTTATACCAGAGAGGGTAAGTAAATAAATCGGGAAATTTCTTTAAAAAAAAAAGGGGAAACATTCAGGTGTAAAGATCTTAGGCTTGAAGACAAGAGGTTTCATATGGAATTATTAAAATTATTGGAACATTAAAGGTCTTAAATTGGCCTAGATTTCGAGTAACTTAGAAGTGTCTTGAAGTTCTTTTCATAAAAAATGCTTTACCAGCCAAAGTTTTAATGATTCATTCATATGTTCTAAATTCTCTATCTTACTAGAAACCTGTCTAAGTTTTCTAGATTTACAATTGCCCTCATTTGAAGCCCCAAATCCTTGAGACTAACAATTAATTTTATTAAAATGACTCTATTTAGTAATCTGTAAAGCTCCAAAAACTAGCACAGGCCTTGATTAGCTTGTGCCAAATTTACAAATCAAAACCGAGACAAACAAATAAAATAAAATAACAAAACGCAAAAAAAAAATGCTAATCGAGTTACATAATCATTTGTGTATTCAAAACAAAACTCGGATTTAATTCAAGTCACTTATCGCTTCGAGAGAGTGCGAGAGAGAGGGCCGCAGTCAGTGTGATAAAGAGAGAACTACAGCTAGTTCTAAGCCTCGGAAATCGAGGCAGGGAGGTCAGTGGCTTATCGGACAAGTTTCCACAAAACAGAGGCACTGAGACAAAGAGCAGATACCAGCACTCCAGCTGAGATTTTTCTGGGGGTTTCGATGACCGAATTAAGTAGCTAATTAGAGAAAAGTGAACTTACCTAGATTAAGGCTATGGAGGTGTTTAATTAGAGACTAGGACAGACGTTTAGGTTGATCCACGCATTAAAAAAACGAAAACCAGAGCGTTCAACACAGAGTGAGTCCAGCGCGACAACTGCCCGCCAGCAGACTCCACACCAAAAGCGATCGAAACAAGTGGCAGGCAGAGCCCATCAAGTGACTCAGCAGAGGGGCACAGTGTCCTCTTCACGAGCTACTAATAATTTGAAAAAACCAAAGGAGAATAGGCAAATTAATAAGCTTCAAGTCTCTTCGAGATAGGTCTTAAAAATAAAGTCTTAAATTTAGAAAAATTTAATGGCATTTCAAACGACCTCCACCCACTGTGCTCCCCACCCAGGCCGGGTAACAATAAACCGCTCGCTGGGCTCACACTGTTGGCGTTCAATTAAGCCACTGACGGCAGCGAGACAATGGATCACTTGTTGAGGGAGGTGGTGAGGGGGTGGATCACAATCGTCTCTTCGGTGGCTTAACTGAGAGTGAGAGTAATGCTAGTATCTGGCGACTTGCTCTCCCCACTGACCGATTATTTGTCATTCGAATGCAGTTCTGGTTTGGGGTCTCAGCTCTGACGTACATAATTCTATATAATACTATATATCTTTATTCCCGAATATTCCAGGCTTGGGCAAGCTTCTCAATCCCGATCTGGAAATAGGTGTGCAATTCTGCACCCACTTGGTCTACGGTTATGCTGGAATTCGTGGCGATAATTACCAGGCCCACAGTCTCAACGAGAACTTGGACATCTACAAGCACCAGTTCTCCGAGGTGACCGCTTTGAAGCGCAAATACCCCCACCTCAAGGTACTGCTCAGTGTGGGCGGTGATCATGACATCGATGTGGAGCATCCCAACAAGTATATCGAGCTCCTGGAGGGCGAAAAGGTGCGTCAAGCTGGATTCATTCAGTCGGCGTATGCCTTGGTGAAGAACTACGGTTTCGATGGCCTGGATCTGGCCTATCAGTTCCCCCGGAACAAGCCCAGGAAGGTGCACGGCGAAATTGCCTCGGCATGGAAGAGCATTAAGAAACTATTCACCGGAGACTTTATTGTGGATCCCCAGTCGGCGCTCCACAAAGAGCAGTTCACAGCCTTTGTCCGGGATGTCAAGGACTCGCTGAGAAACGATGGCTTCTTGCTTAGCTTGACAGTGCTGCCCAATGTGAACTCAACTTGTAAGTTAAAGGCTTTACTCCTAAGCTTCAATATTTGAAAACCTGAATTCCTGCAGGGTACTTCGATATCCCATCCCTGAATGGCCTGGTGGACTTTGTCAACTTGGCTGCCTTTGACTTTGTCACTCCAGCCCGGAATCCGGAGGAGGCTGATTACACCGCTCCCATTTACCACCCAGATGGCTCCAAGGATCGTCTGCTTCACTTTAATGCCGATTTCCAAGTGGACTACTGGCTTCGACAGGGCTTCCCATCGTCTAAGCTGAACCTTGGTGTTGCCACCTATGGAAATGCCTGGAAGCTGACTTCGGATTCGGGACTCGAGGGTGTCCCAGTTATTCCGCGTACTGAAGGTCCTGCCCCCGAGGGCGTACAATCCCAGAAGCCCGGACTTTTAAGTTATGCTGAGATCTGTGGCAAACTAAGCAATCCCCAGAACCAGTATCTCAAGGGAAACGACTCTCCTCTAAGGAGGATTTCCGATCCGACCAAGAGATTCGGCACCATTGCCTACCGGCCAGTGGATGGAGCCATCACCGAGGGCATTTGGGTGAGCTACGATGATCCCGACTCTGCGTCCAACAAGGCAGCCTACGCCCGCGCTAAGAACCTTGGAGGCGTGGCACTCTTCGATTTGGCCTACGATGATTTCCGCGGCCAATGCACCAACGATAGGTATCCCATTCTGAGGGCCGTAAAATATCGTCTATAAATAAAATAACAATTTTAATAAATTATAAATGATTTTGAGTATACAATTTTGTTTACTTTCATATCTTTGTTTCTTAAAAAAAAGCTGCAAGAAAGGGGATTTCAAAATGTTCTGGATAACAATTTAGGGTCTGGCTTATCAGGAATAAATATATATGTTTTGAGATTTTTTAACGCCAAATAAAAAATCTACCATAAGATAACCATAGCTAAGCTTTTTCTACGTTTCTTATCAGAAATTTTGATTCAAATATTTTGTGTGGAATTATTTAATCTTAATGAATAACTTAAAAAGCTTTTTAGCTTAACATTACTCACTTACTAGGTTTTGTTTATTTTACACTTATTCGCTAAGTAATTCAAGTAAGCCTTGAAACGACATTAAATATAATCTGCCCATAAATATGGCAAGCTCCCCCGTAAAACTTTACGATTTCTGCCAAAATATTTACATAATATTTTTGGGTATGACTCGTCAAGTAGCGGCCTTGTTGTTAATTCCCCAACGCCCCAGTAGAGTCTTACAAACTGCAGACTTATCACTAGATTTTAAGATTTGCCTATTTAAACTATGAGTCTGTGAAGAATCTGGTCTCGTATCTCCTATTTGGTCTAGGGGAGAGTGATCTCATTGAACTCGGATGTCGGCTGTCACTTGAGACAAACAATTTTGTTGATAATAAGCCCAGAGCCCCACGTATTGTTCGTTTCGGGGAATCCAAAGCCGGGGACGTTTCCTACAATACAAATAATAAAGCTCGACATTTCCATTGCCCAGAGTATCATTTCGAATTCAGTTTCAGTTTAGTTTCGCTGCTCGCCGGCGTCGGTCCACTTGTAAATACTACCTGTGAAGGTTGCTATTGTTTTTGATTATTTCTCAGAGTATCTGGCGGAGCTCTCTGAATACAGCTCTCCACACAAAATATATAAAAAATGACAAGCTCTCTGTGGCTCAGCTTGGGCCTGAGCTTGGTGCTCTTAAATCAATTCCCAGTGAACGCGGCTCCCAATCTCGTTTGTTTCTATGACTCTCAGGGCTTCCAGCGTCAGGGTGAGTGTTGACCCCCTAATCACTATCTGTGTTATCTATTTTTAACTAATTAATTGAATATTAAGGCCTGGCCCAATTCTCAATGACGGATATGCAGTTGGCCCTGCAGTTCTGCACTCATTTGATCTACGGATATGCCGGCGTTAATGCTGATAACTTTGAATTGCAGAGCATTAACAAGCGCCTTGACTTCGAGCAACGTCACCTGGCTCAGGTGGCCCAATTGAAGGAGTCCTACCCACACATCAAGTTCCTGTTAAGTGTGGGTGGCGATGCCGATACCAACGAGGGAAATCAATACATTCATCTCCTCGAATCGGGCCAACAAGGTCACAAGCGGTTCATTGAATCGGCCCGGGACATTGTCAGACGTTTCAACTTCGATGGCTTGGATTTGGCCTTCCAGCTTCCCCGGAATAAGCCACGTAAGGTTCACGGCGACATTGGATCGGCCTGGAAGAGCTTCAAGAAGTTCTTTACTGGTGACTATATTGTGGATCAGGATTCGGAAACCCACAAGGCCCAAATGACGGGCCTGATCAAGGACTTGAGTGCTGCCTTCCAGCAGAACAACTTGCTCGTCAGTCTCACGGTTCTTCCCAATGTGAACTCAAGCTGTAAGTACCCCCCCATACTTGGAAAGTAAGATAATTATTTGCACTAATTCGTTTTGCTTTTTGTGAGTCATAAAGTCAATGATTTTGCGAAAAACAACAGCTGATGTAATAAAACAAACTCGGTTACTTAATACACTTGATACGCAGGTGTATTTCAAGCTATAGAACTTAGTGTTAATTCCAGTATTACTTATTAACCTTCTGTTCATTTTAGGGTACTACGATGCCCCTTCGATCGCTCCCAGCTTGGACTTTATTAACCTGGGAACTTTCGATTTTGTGACTCCGCAACGCAACCCCGAGGAAGCTGACTTCTCAGCCCCACTGTACGAGGCTTTTGGCCAGAACCGTTTGGGCCACTACAACGTCAACTTCCAGATGGAACACTGGCTGCTCCAACGCGTCCCGGCCAACAAGCTAAACATTGGTATTGCCACCTATGGCAGGGCCTGGAAAATGACCAAGGATTCTGGGGACTCGGGTGAGCCGGTGGTCCACGCCACCGAAGGACCTGCCCCCGCCGGACCCCAGAGCAAGAAGGAGGGTCTGCTCAACTGGGCTGAGATTTGCCAGCTGATGCCGAACCCCAGCAACAGGAATGTCCAAGGACCGAATGCTCCTGTCAAGAGGGTGCTAGATCCCACCAAGCGCTATGGAAGCTACGCCTTCCGTCCGGCCGACGAAAATGGCTACAACGGGCTGTGGATAAGCTACGATGATCCCGACTCGGCTTCCAGCAAGGCTCAGTACGCCAGGGTCAAGAATCTGGGTGGAGTGGCCCTGTTCGATATAACCCAAGACGATTTCCGTGGCCAGTGCACCAACGATCGCTTCCCCATGCTGCGTGCCATCAAATACCGACTCCTCTAAGGACTTATAAAGATATACACTACTACCGACTAAATGTCACAAGCAAGCAAGGAAATGTTGCAAAAAAAAGTATAGTTATAAGGATCAGTGGAGGGGGACAAATGTCACCCAATCGGCGGCTTAAGGTCTCCTTCTGTGTCTGTCCCTTTTTGCAAATTAATTACAAAGTTGTAAACTAAAATGCACCGCAAATTAATTCGATGGGTTGGGTCACTGAGATGGGGGAATGGGCCGAGTGGAAAGGACAAGTACACTGAAAGGATGAAAGTTTCTATAAAAATAATATATATATAGGGTGTATCTTTATGATTGGGATGGCTCTTAAAGCTACTAAATAATATACCCTATTTGTGTATTTAGTTATTTGTTAATCTTGGGCATTATATTTCTCAGTGCCTTTGGTTTCCATCTCTCTGGTTTAATTGCCTCTTTAGCATTGAATTGTTTGGCGCCCACGTCTGGGCCAACTCTGCTGGCTTTATCATTCTTGGCCCATCTCTTGGTCAAATGGCATTTTGTTGGCTTTTTTTGTATTTTGTGGGTTTTACCGATTTTCCACTCTTTTTGTACGGTTTAGATTTACAGATTTCGCCACAGAGCGCCTGGAGAAGTCGACTTGTGTAATTGGCGCTACATACGCGACATCCAAAAAGCTCGATCCGCGATCCATATGCGTACCCCGTAATGGCCGGGTCGTCGTTTACAGAATTGTTGACATACCACCAGGCAAAAGGTTGCCACTCGAACAACCACAGTGAACACTGTGGCCACAGGGACCCGGGGGTGTCTGGACGGACAGGACGGACAGCATCGACTGCCTCCACTGGCGACGACAACGACACGATGTAAGACAACTAAATTAAGTTATTGTTCCCGGGCTTAACTATTTTGATTAAAGTCGATTTTTGGGTACTCTATCAAGCAGATGATTTAGAATACTTATTGAAAATTAAGTTTTTTATTTAGAATTATTATTTTTATTATTTTTTAATATTTATAACCCAGTTATAGCTATTTTTGGATAAACTTACTTTGCCTATTTTGATAATGTTGGTATTAATATCGAAGAATTCTAAAGAAGTCTGAGCCTCTAACAACATAATCCTTAAATGAACATTTTTATAGTTTTATATTTCCAAAATTTTAATATAACTACCATACTCTTTGATATTTTAATCTATTAATCGTGAACCTGACTGAGAATGTCCTCAGATATGAAAATGTTTCGTGTGTTTATGTTTAAATCTCCCACACTTACTCTATCCAAAAAATTCAAAAGCCCTTGGAGGAGCCATAGCTAAAGTTCTAGTTGCTATCTAGGCGGCTTATCTGGGGAATCGTGATCTTATTAAGCCAGGGCCTATACACTCGGAAATTATTTGCAATTGGCGCAATGCCTTATTGGAATGCAAAATATGCCATTAGTGGCAGAAGTCGAGACTTGGCCAACTGAACAGCTTCCCAGACTTTGAGACTTAAGGGCCCTAAGGGCATGGTTTAGGTCTTTAGTTAGTGGATGTGGGTCTGAAGGAGGAAGGAGGTGCTTGGCAATGGCAATGGGTATGAGCATGCCACTTGCATAGCTTACAAGTTGTAAACACGGCATTGTTTTGGCCACTGTTCCCTAATATATATACCAAAACAGAAACTAAACTAAATGCACTTGGGAAAATGTTATTCTCTAAAAAGGTATTAACTTTTTAGTGACTGAGAATCAAAGTCTTCCAATCTTTATACTTTTTGGAGTGTAAGTTGCCTTTAAAAAAAATATCGTTGTTCGTGTTCGGAGTGCTCCTAGGACGAGGCTCCTCGAGCTCCTGAATTTGGCTTGTCGCCTCATCTAATTAAGGAGCATTTGGTCCACGGCGGCGTCTGCAAGATCTGTTCATGATTATTGCCCCGTGGTTATATCGCTGCCAGTAGCCTGCCGGCGAATGACAAATATGCTGGCGGGACTGGAACTCCCCAAGCCCCCAGACCTCAGGTCCTCAGACCCCCAAATCCCCAAGCCCCAGACTGCTGTGGTCTTCCAAGGAAGGCAAGTCTGTGGCCTGTGACTCTTTAAATAAAGATATTTTCGCCCTCATTACGCGCCGAGTCCTTTTGTTTATTTGCTGACTTTTTTGGCTTATTTTTTCGGTGGCCGATGAAGTGTCGCTGATTGCGCGTTGCATTGTTTTGGCCAGGTCGGCGAAAAACGTCGATGATGCCGATAAGAAAATGCATGTGGACTGGTCAGGGATTTGGGTATGTTGGCTGCCGATTTGATAAGCTGTCCCACCGATAAAGATTTCCATGGAAAGTTGCTATAGTTTATTTAATTTCTTTTCCTTGTTTTCGGTTCGGGGGATTAGAAGAAGGGCTTGGCCCTGGATGACTCTTAGCTCTCTCATTTCGTTTTAAATTCCCACACAATGAACTTGTTTTACTTGGGGCCATCCCAGCCTCGGTTCTGCCATCTTTTCTCCCACATTGTTATCGCTCTGCTTGCCTTGAGTTTGCA